CATGAAGTTACCTAAAAACAGACAGAAAGAGATGTTACCCACAAGCCACCAACATTGCAAGTGTTGTCTTCATTTAAAGGAGTAATTCATACATTTCTTCATCAGATTTGGAGAAATGTAGCATTACATCACTGTCTCACCAATGGAACCTCTGTGAATGGGTGCCGTCAGAATGAGAGTTAAAAACATCTTGATGGATTTGTTTCTTATAAACACGCAGCTTTTGGCTTCACAAGACATTAACTGATGGACTGGAGTGGTGTGGATTGCTTGTGGATTATTGTGATGTTTTTATCAGCTGTTTGGACTCTCATTCTGACGGCACCCATTCACTGCAAAGTATCCATTGGTGAGACAGCGATGTAATGCTACATTTCTCCAAATCTGATGAAGAAACAAACTCCTCTTGGATGGACTGAGGGTGAGCACATTTTCATTTTTGGGTGAACTGTTCCTTTAAGTGCAAACTTACCAACCATCTCAAAGACATTGGCGAACAGGATGATTTTCTTGGTGGTGAGTGTGCGATCTGACCAGAAGCCAAACAAAGGACCAGCGAGAAGCCCGCTGAAGCTGAATGCTGATAGGCTGAGACCAAGAAAGTACGGTGCGGCATTTAACGTCTGCAGATACCTCCATATTGTGGGCAAAATCACAGCTGAAATGAAAACAGACATACATATGGGCACATCTGATCCGGTATTTTAACTATTAACTTGAAGGCTAGTTAGATTAGTAACTAATGGCAGTTCATTAACATAGAAACTCTGTGACTTACTGATCTGAACAAATCTTAAGAATCTCTGAACAACAAAGAGGTTGTTCTCTGGGACAGGCATGTCGGAAAATTTCTCATATATAAGATAGGTTTTATTACAAACAAGTAACAATTCAATCACTGTTATTAGTAACATCCCGTTATACATTTGTGATGAATGTGACACAGTCTCTTTGTTATTATTGAGGGGTTATTTACATCAAGAATTATCTTGACTAATGAAATATCTAGCTACAGTATTACTACTTAATGTTCCATTATTATTTTTTTTTATATACATTCATATGGAGTCCAAATAAAATAATAAACTAATAACAAAAAATGTACCAGTAGCTTAAAGTATTGCGAATAGTGTTAAATTAACGATTGTTCTGTACCATGGTAATTGTAATTCACATCCATTCAAATTCTAGTTCAACATTCTGTAGACTGTGGCGTCGATTTGATTCAAATTTGAGTTCAAATCAAATTTCAATGCAACATTTTGCGGAGCTTGTGGTAAGTTCGAAATCAAATTTCAAATTTGAACACTCGCTCTTTAACTGATAAAGCATCTGTGCTAAATGACATTATCATTGATGCAAATCTGGACATGCTATTTTTGACGGAAACCTGGCAGGTGCCCAATGACTTTTTTAAATTTAAACCTCTTAACACCACCTGGGTACATCTATTTCTCTCAGCCTCGTCTCCATCGTAGAGGTGGAGGGTTGGCTGTAGTTTGTCGTGAGAGTATCAAAATATCTAAGATTGAGTTCCATGAAGTTGCATCTTTTGAATATCTTGTATTGAAAATGACTAGCAAAACATCAATGGCTGTAATCTTAATTTATCGACCTCCAAAATTTCATTCAGATTTTTTCTCTGAGATTAGTGAGTTACTTACTCTTGTCTGTGCTAGTTATTCATCTGTAATTTTTCTTGGTGATTTTAATATACATGAAAACACTGTACAATGCAACGAATTGATGTCTGTTCTGGACTGTTTCAGTCTAACTTAACATGTAACTTTTGCTACTCACTCCAGGGTTCATATATTGGATCTTATATGTACATCTGGCTTATATAATATTCTTGTTAGTGGAACTGATTTTGCTTTTTCAGATCACAAACTACTAAACTTCAGTTTTAGTTTTCCAATTTTTACATCGCCTGTGAAAAAAATGCTCATTTCATTGCTATGCTGATGACATTCAAATTTACCTAACCACCAGCTCTGATAGGTCATCACTGCCTGACTCACTTACTGCATGCATCAGGGATATCAAGCATTGGATGTCCTTGAATTTCCTTAAACTAAATAATGACAAAACTGAAATATTGATGATTGGCTCTGCTACCTCAGTCAAAAGGATTGACCTGTCCTTTGAAATTGACGGGGTTCATGTTAATCCTGCACATTCATCTGTCCGTAATCTTGGTGTCTTATTTGACTCATCGCTATCTTTTTCCTCTCATATTTCTTCTGTTGTTAAAACCTCTTTTTTCCATCTTCGTAATATTGCACGTCTTCGATCTTCTCTAACTCTAGCTGATGCTGAAATCTTAATTCATGCATTAATCACATCACGTCTGGATTATTGCAATGCTCTATTTCTTGGTCTGCCTAAAAAACTTATTGCAAGGTTACAGTATGTTCAAAACTCAGCAGCAAGAGTTCTCACCTCCACCAGGCGTTCTGCTCACATTACTCCTCTACTGCATGATCTTCACTGGCTACCTGTGGCATCACGTATTCACTTTAAGATATTACTTCTAACGTATAAGGCATTAAATGGTCTTGCGCCTCCATACCTGTCTGACCTAGTTACAGTATGTTCAGAACTCAGCAGCAAGAGTTCTCACCTCCACCAGGCGTTCTGCTCACATTACTTCTCTACTGCATGATCTTCACTGGCTACCTGTGGCATCACGTATTCACGTTAAGATATTACTTCTAACGTTTAAGGCATTAAATAGTCTTGTGCCTCCATATCTGTCTGACCTACTGTACTCCTATTCTCCTGCCCGGTCTCTCAGATCATCTGAGCTTGGTCTTTTGTCCATTCCTCGTTTTCGGCTGTCCACTGTAGGTGGTAGGTCATTTAGTGTTAATGCTCCGAAATTATGGAATTCGCTACCCCTTACACTTCGTAATATACCATCTTTGTCTACATTCAAGACTCAGCTAAAACGTATCTTTTTAATATGTATTTTGGATAATGTGGCTATATTGTGGCCTTATGTGTTTGTATTGTGTATATGGGTGTGCAAATGTTTTGTTTAGCACTATGTAAAGTGACCTTGAGCTATGGAAAGGCACTATATAAATAAAACTTCTTCTTCAAATTAAATTCCAAATGAATTTAAAGTCCAATTAAACATTTTGTGGAACTTGTGGCAAATTCTAATTCAGATCAATTCACATTAAAATCAGTTCAAATTCCAATTCAACATAATGTGAAGTGTGACAAATTTCATTCAAATTCCAATTCAAATAAAATAAAAATCAGTTCAATAGTCTGTTGAGTGTGTGGTTAACTGAATTCAAACTCCAGTTCAAATCCATTCAAATTCAAATCAATTAAGAATTTTCCTGACTACTGGAACTTTGGCCATATTATTTGTATTATTATTTAATATATTTATATATGCAGATTTAATTTGATATAAGAAATGCATAATAATAATAATGCACAAATAATAAAAAACACCTACATTTAATTATGTAATGCCACACTGCTTATGTAAATACTAGTATGTTAAAATAATTGTACTATGGTAATAGCGTCTGACACTATCAATATACAATTCATATTACACTATGGGTAATAGTTATCACCAATAGTGTAATGTACAAATGTAAACTATTGTCCATAACACTATACCGGAGATCACTCACCGTACTCGATCCCGCTCAGTAAGAAGATCAGTCCTATAGTGAAGAAGGTCAGTCTCCTCTTGCGTCTATAGTCCATCTTACTCTCTTTTTGATATGTATGACTTTTCAGAGATTTTGACCCATATTATCGCGGCACGTAATGATCAGGACACTGCGACCAATTACTGCAGCGCTCAGTGCTCTCTACAGCACTGCATAATACACAAGCGCGCTCTAAAAACACAGGTCTGAACCTGAACCAGCGGCGCTGCAATGTAATGCAGACAGGTCTTCTCAACAGTCAGCGGCAGACAGCTTGTCAGTCCTGTTTAAAACAATACGTGCATTACTTGAACGCCGTGATTTTGACGGCCGCAGTGAAGGACGCACTCTCTGGCGTCACTACCGGTTGCCGCTACGCTGATCGCCTTCACCGTGGTATTAAAAGTTCGACTAAATTATCAAGAAAATTATTTAAACTACGCACAACCGATAACAGGGTTTTCATATTTTTTATTTTTATTTTAATATAATGAACATAAACATGACATGAAAGATTAAACGCACACCATGTCTCCTACTCAGCTGTTAAACAATTATTACCACAAATTCAATCATTTTGACTATCTGCTAAACTGATATTCGATGTGCTGTACTAAAAATATTTTGAAATACTTTTTTTCAGCGCATACACTTGTAATGTACCCTCTCACTCGAAATCTGCAACTGCAGATTTTACCAAAATCCCAAACCCTAACATTACATAAAATCAATTGTTGACTGTTAAATGTACATTTATCAAAACCCCAGACTTATTTTCCAGCAATAAAAATGAAACATGTATGTATATATATATATACACTCTAAAAAATGCTGGGTTAAATACAACCCAGTGCTGGGTAAAATAGGGACAAACCCAGCAATTGGGCTGTTTTGACCCAGCGGTTGGGTTGTTCCCACATCTCAGACCTCAAATACATAAAATATTACCCTTTTTAGACATAGTTTAGTAAAGAGTAAAGAAAATGCTATACAAAACTTACTAGCAGTTGCCAAGTGGTTATCAGTCTTACTTTTCCAATACATATATAAGACCAGTCTACCTCTCTGATATATAAAATTCTCCAGGCAGCATTTTAGATTTAGACAAGACTGTCTGTCTTGGTTTAGATCATATCTTTCTGGTCGCACTCAGTTTGTACAACTTAAAAACTTCAGATCTGAGCTGTCGCCTGTTACTGATGGTGTTCCGCAAGGCTCAGTCTTGGGGCCTCTTTTATTCATTATTTATTTACTGCCTATTGGACACATTTTTAGGGCGTTTGGAATTAATTTTCATTGCTATGCCAACAACAGCCAGCTCTACATGTCCTCCATGCCTAACTCGGTATTTCCTTCATCTTCTCTGTCAAGCTGAACAACCACGTGTTCGTCTGAGAAGTATGGGGTCCAGGGCTTTTAGTTATGTTGCCCCTCATTTGTGGAATGCCCTTCCCCAGGACATCTGTAACAGCGACAGTCTTCAAACTCTTTTAAATCGCTGTTTTATTGTCAAATTTTGTAGTTTGCCTTGTTTGCTGTTGTTACATTGATGTTATAGCGAGATTTTGTAAGGTGACCTTGAGTGTCATGAAAGGCACCCATAAATAAAAATGAATGAATAATATGTCAAATTTGCATGTATTTAGAAATGTTAAAGCAAGCAAGCAAATAAATAAGTAAATATATAAATTAATATACATAAAAAAAAAAAAAAAAAGAAACTCACAGGTTGCCGCTTCTGTTGAGGTTTCATCTCCTTCAATCCTATAAACCTTTCCATACATGACATAATCAAACTGATCAGCCCTGCAAAACAACAACAAAGACCATACATCATGATTTAAAATAGCGGTTTTCTATGTGAATGTATTGCAAAGTGTAATTTATTCCTGTGATCAAAGCTGAATTTTCAGCATCATTACTGCAGTCTTCAGAGTCACATGATCTGAAATCATTCTAATGCTGATTTGCTGCTCAAAAACATTTCTTATCATTATCAAATGTTGAAAACAGTTGTGCTGCTGAATATTTTGTACATCTGAAAGTTTTGCATTGCATTATTATTTATAATTTATTTTATGGTTATATATATATTTTGTTGTGTTACCTGGACGGTCTGTCATCCTGAGGGTTGTATTCCCCGTCATCCGGCGTCCCGTCCTCAAACAGCGTGCTGGCAACCACCAGTCTGAACTTGTCACCTGAGACAACGATACGCCAACATGAGGATGATAACATATCAAAACAACAACAACAACAACACGGCTGAAGAGCAAAACGATCACTTACCGAGATCAACAGGATAAATCTGGATGTTCACGTCAAGGATCAGGTCCATTTTGAAAGACTCACTTTCACAGTGAAGACGAGATACTAATAACAACAAAGCAAATATAGTTAGAATTTCAGATTTTTTTTCCTGAATTTATTTTAACAGAAAGCAAAATGATTAATAAGGAAATAACGACTTCGAATAAACTAACTGAGAGATAGTTCTTGGTCATGCTATATCCTATCAGCCATTTTAAAATACGTTTCTATCACGGGGCTTCCCTCACAAAAGCCTTTATTGTGGTTTCATAAGATTTTTTTTTTTTTTTTACTTAATATCCATTCTCAAAGTAGCATTTACATTTAAAAAATACATTACTAAATATTATTAAAACTAATCCTCTATTTAAACTTAACTTTCAAAAATGTTTGAATGTTAGTAATGTATTTTAATGTTTTTAAAGAACACACTTCTTAATATGTAAATTCCACTTTAATAATGGATACTGAAAAACTAAATTATTAAAATATTACAATAAAAAGAATCCCTGCCCCCCCCCCCCCCAATATTTCTTATTCAAGTAGTATTTACATAGTAAAGCGTTTACATTAAAAAAGCATGGATTAGTAAAATAAAAAAATAAAAGCTAGTTTAAATCTATTAGTTTTCATTATTTAAACTTTTACTTTGTCTTGTTTTAAGTTTTCATTTTATTTAATGTATTTTAAAATTATAATTTAATGTAATGTAAAAATACTCCAATAATGGATATACAAAACAAGCTAAAAAGATTAAAAAAAAAATTTTCAATATTTTATTAATTTCAATGCATGCTTAAAAATAATCAAATTGACTAATAAAAGTCTGTTGTGTTCTTAGCTTTTTCCCCGTTTTAGAAGGCTTGAAAGACATAACATAAAATAACGAAAAATAATTCCATCTAAGGTTATAATCATTTCATTTACTTCCAAGAAACAAACCAATAATTTTCCTTTTTGAAACTCGCATGTCAAAAGCAACACAAACACTCAAAAATACAAACGACTACATTTAACCTCACGTAAAACTACAAAAATTTTACGACACATGTATCCGGCAACCGGCGGTTCCGTCGCGGTTGCTAGGAGAAAGCGTCTTCCTCATGGTTACCACCATCGCAGCTAGCCAAACAGCTTCTGTTTATCCTGCTGAAATCGTCTTTAATAGCCTATATATATCTACGGATTTGACATAAAACACATCAGATATGTTCAGCGACGGCTGTACATGAAATATTGTTGGTGAGGTGAGTTCTGTTGTCATATTTAAACTGCAAACCGGCTATCACGCCAGCTAACCTAACTATGTAACTATAAATGATATAAGTTACCTGTTTATGCAGCGCATTATTATTTACGAATAAACACGTGCAGTGTTTTTAGCAGCATACGCTTAGCTTATTTCTGCATAACCAGATTGTTTTGCTTCGAGCTGA